GATGATGATGATGATGATGATGGTGAACGTTAAGCCCTGTTGTGGAGAGTAGCCACTAATCAAAGCGTCACCATGAGAGAGCTTACTCTGTGATGTCATGTTTGCTATTAGTGAACATTTTGGTTGATCTGTTGGGTCTGTCAGATTCTGGACCGTTTATTGGTGAAAATCCATCACAGTAGGTGGAAAAACTGAACGAATACAAGGATACAACGTTGGTCAAAACCACATGTGTTTGTCTCCAATCATTGAAGCAGGTTCACAAATTTTGATACGTGGCAAGAAAGACACACCGCCCGATGCAGACGTCGAAATTGTCATTAAAGTTGTCGCGCGTCTAATTTCAAATCTACCGGACTATCTATGCTCACCTAGTAAATTTGGATTAGTAGATTCCATCACTCAACCGATCACTCGTCAACAAATTGTCTACAGAAGACAGATATTCTTGTACTATAGTCCACATGGTTCCTTACATATTCCTCCACTTCGCTTCTATTCTGTCAGGACCACTTTCTCTCTGGGATAAATAGTTTGAATTTAAGAGTAGTGCTGCGGTTCCCAGACTCAGACAGTTACGCGGGCGTCTCTTGACGTTGGTGTTGCATTTTGCTGATAGGATTGCCCATTCACTTCAGTATTCGAATCAGTAGCCAATGCTCCTTTCAGCTATCTTCGAAGAGGTCCCTTCACTGGATCTTAGTTGCTGAGTAGGGAGAGCTGGCTGAAAAGGCTTGATCAGTTCATCTGAAGTCTGCTTCAGTCCCGTGTTTATGTCCTTGATAGTTTGAATCAGCCCCTCAAAGTATCATCTTGCTCTGATTCTGAACAGTGTGCTGGATATGACTATGTCTAGTGATTCACAAGCAAGAAGGAGTAGAATAGTTTTTTTTTTGAGGAAAAGGTCAATAAGGAGGGAGAACGGCTGGGGTTCTAACCGAAGAAAGCATTTTTATTGGCGTGTCACACGCGATAACACATTACCGGCGTGAAACACGGGTATCCTAGTCATGAAACCTGGCTTCTCGTTCCACGGACAAACTCACTGAATTCACAACTGACCAGTCCGGGATAACGGAATCCTAAATACTGGCTGAGACAGACAAAAAAGACTATCTGGGTACCCCATATATTCTTGGAAGGCCAGCTGTCCCAAAGGTTGGCCTGGGACCATTACTTTCTCCGGATAATCGCTTCCCGCTTCCAAAAATGATCGCCAGTTAAAATGAAACGAAACATCAACACAGTTATAAACACGGACACGTAACTGGAGTCCTAAGTCGACAAAAGTTGGTCATTAAACTTATGAGTTGTTTGCTAGGTGGTTGTGGCGCTCTTAGTTGAGGAAATGGTGTAGCTGATTCATGGGCATATCAGTTAAGTTACAAGGTCACTTTTCTTATCCATAAGAATTGCGCCAGTGCCTGGTCATTTAAAACCATCCAGCTGGAGTTCGAATTGAACTTATAGATCAAGGTTCTGGTCATGCCCCGTTGGAAACCTATAATTACTTTTCAGTGGCCTATTCGATACCGATAGGAACAGCTGGCGATTAACCTTGGTGTTGTGTCCGTCTTGTAGTGTCTGTAATCCATTGTCATATTTACCATTCTTCCTGAATTTGAACCACACTTTGTAACTGTTGTTCACATTGTATCATGACGCTTGTTTTAATGTTACGAATACACAATTTTTCGGTGCGACCTGCTGACTTCTTGCTGAACGAGTGTATTTACGCTCCGCTGAACCAGTGGGACCAAATCTCTGTGTTTGTGTCAACTGTTGAACGTCACAATAAATCCCTGTGACATTTTTAGCCGTAAATAATTTTCCTACCGTGGAATATATCACTCACGCGGAACCATCTGTGGGAACTTTCGACGAGTGAATATTTCCTTTCACAGCCAATTACTGCATTTGGATCGGTGTAGTGGACTATTGGATCTACACATTCGTGAGTCCCCATTTGACTACTCATTCCTTTCCTATTGTGATTTTGTATTGGTTACTTTGCTTGTTAATTTATCCGAACACGCTGATAAGTCCCTAGTTCGCTACGCTTACATCCAATCTTAGGGACTATTATCTCCGCACCGGAAAAACGGTTTGAAGATCTACGGAAAAGTTCGATCACTCAACCTAGAGTTACTGGGAAAAGGAAGCGCATCAGCCACATAGACAGAACATTCGCCGAACTTTTTTTTGAAACAGGGAGTAGAAAACCTATTCGTGTTGGACAAACAAGTCATCAAGCGTTACAGTCCGTTACCTCCTATTATTAGCCTCATCTACCAGGATAAAACCATCAAGCAAAGGTGATATGGGTGTCCCAATGTTATGCCGCTTCGGAGCGCCGCATAACGGGTCTGGGCGTAGTCCGATCGTTCGCAAATCGAGCAAACTGCATCAGCTGCCTCAGGTGTAGACGGGTGTGACCAAATTGAACGATGTCAACATTAGCGTATCGCATAGCAGTGCGAGTGGCCTGCAGCGCTTTTACTACGCATCTAACCATTGATTTTTTGTTTGAAAAAGATCAATAATGTACACGCTAAAATAGCGGCAGAACCGCAGTCGGGGTTGCACTTTGATTAACCGGTAGACGACTCGACTTTCAAGTTGGGATCTCCCAGATCACCATACTCAGCATTTTACCATCAAAAATTGCACATAGCCAGGATTAAAGTTCAATTTGAGAAGCGTTTTGCCAAAGTTAGAGTATGTGCTTTCCAATAAAGAAGTTCACAGCAGGCAGCAGGACAGTTGTAGTACCAGACTTTATATCGTAGTCTCTCCATCTCCAACATCCTGCGGTGACCTATATCGAAGCAAACGGGAATATATCTATTTTGAAACACAACTTGAAACAGATAAGTAAGATGAAGCTGAAAATGGATTAGAAAGAAACATTTTATCAAACTGCAGGATAGGCATTTTTTATTTTGTAATATATCCGGTGTGGAATCTTCCCAGAAAAGTGGATGGATGAAAACGATGGAATGACTCCTTCTCAGCATTTCGAACATTCACGTCCCTAATCGGATGGTCATTTTTCTGTTCTACTTCAGCAAACATAGCTTTGATCTTAGGAAGAAGATAGATAGATAAAATTACTCACGCTTCATAGGCTGCGCTGGTTAGGACGTGTACTCCGCGTGCCAGAAGACCATCTGCCCCGCGGAGCTCTTTTTTCCTAGCCCTGTGCTGAGTGGAAGCGACCGACAGGTGGAGAGTGTATGACCTGGCAACGAAGTACGAAAGCACTAACCAATAAACTTCGTCGCGTGGGCCACTACCGCCTCCCTGGATGGGGACCCCGGAACTCAAATAACCAGTGGTTAATGACATTGGCGGAAATGGCCCAATCGCACAGTCAGTGGTGCTCGTGCATTGAAGCTATCGCCTTCAATGCGTAGCTACCCAATTTTCGAACAAACTGGACATGCCTTCGCCTCCGAGGCTTGGTTGTATGTCTCACACCTCTGTGATCGAAACTGTAGCAGCTGGAACCAATGTTCCTACGGCACACGGTTCATAGCTGACAAATTGAATTGAATTGAGGGTGTCGGAGTACTGGTTAAGCGACTCAAATGAATCCAACTGTATTTCTCGTTTATGACGGTTCGCTGGTCGTCGGCTATCGAAGGCTTTTCGGTAAACTTATGAGTAGTGTGTTACGTCTAGACAACGATGCATTGCGATGTCCCGAATATCGTACTAACTGAAACGTGAGGTGATCTGGTGCAGCACATTCAGTTGAAGCAGACTACCATAAACGAGAGATTCAGCTGGATTCAGTAGAGTCCCCGTCAAAGCCAAATTCGTACGCCGTCTAGGGTATTTGTTAAAATTTGTCCAATTTTGGTTGAAGTAGAACACAGGATTGATGGGCACTCAGAAACTGGGCCTACCTGATGAACTCCAAGAATGTTAAAACCGGTCGTGGGCTGTAGAAGGGTTTCAGTTGCCTCATGAGTAGTGTGCTAGTGGTTGTGAGGTTTTTGGTCAGATATGAGAGGATTGTTTTTTTTTCAAACCATTGACTTTCCATTAATAATCCAATTTAGAGACTTCAGGGACATTTGCTAATCTCAGACAGCAGAGCCTCGTGCGTGCTTTCTTTAGCGATTGGTTGAGAGCTGACAGGAACATGTTGCACATTGATAATGTGAGAAGATTTTGGAATTTTGATGGAGACTTCGTCAGTCTATGCTGGAAATCCGAGAATCAGTGCTCTGTCCAGTCCAGTCGCGCTGCGGGTCATTTGCTCTTGCTCGGACGTTCAAATTACCAGCTGAAAGCCAAAAGTTCGGAGCTCTCTACTGGATTTTCGTCAGGTCCTCATTCCCAATAGGGATAAAACTATAGTATAATGATTCCCGGCTTTTCATTATGGAATGGCTTGAATTACAAGACTAAATCACCATTAAAAGATAGTGGATTGATTAGGGGCAAAAACTGATGTAGCTGGTATTTCATAAAGGAAACTGCTCACAAGGTTGCTGAAAACTCTACGATAACCCATGACCGGTCTCGCCCGTTGCTGAAAACTCTACGACAGCCCATGACTGGTCTCGCCCTTATGGGGCTCATCAGGTAGGCGCAGTCCCTTGTTGACGCGATCGTGCATTGGCGTGGCCAAAAGTTGACGCTGGTTTGTATGTTAAGCCAGAATTCTAACCCAGGAATACACTAGCTAAATCAGGGAGGTGAGTGGCCGGCGATAGCTAACAATGAGTTGTGGTCTAGGTGAAACATAAAATGTTTACCACGTAACATTCTGAGGAATATCTTCACAGTGAAAATATCAGGTAGCGCTTCCTTTTCAACCTAGCCATAATTTTCCTCTCTAACCGGAATGAAGGAGACACGCGATGCAACAAAAGTTTTTCGAACCGTTCGAAAAATAACGCAACAAGGTGGCACAACTCCGTATTCTGAAGCAGTGAATACCGCGATGACCAGTTGTTTAAGGTTGTGATGGGTTAAAAATAAATCAGGCGTGAGTACATGTATGATACGAGAAAAGCCTGCTTGGAACACCTGTGAGTAGTCTCACTTAGAAAAGTTATGATCCGCTCCAAATAGGGAGTATATCCTTTGACTGGTCTCATATAACCTATCCTCGTCAGTACACCCATTGTTATCGCAGGATTACGCTGAATTCTTTGTGAGCGAATATCACCATGTATTGATCAATAAGTGTCAGTCTCTTTGGCCAATGGGATTTCGTCATGAACGGGAATGAAGAGTTAACGCCAACATTGGTTGTGCTAAGACCGTGATCTCAAAGCAAGGAATTGGTTAGTTAGCCTAAACGCACGATCTAGGTGTCCTATCTGACAGGTAACGTGTAGTCCAATTCACCAACGGACGGTCAGTAATAATTGCGGCGAAACCGAATTCTACGAACTTCACCTGCGTTTGTTCAGTAGTCGCAAGTGGGCAGTGAACAATATATTGAATTGGACTTGGGCAGACAGTACAGATAGGTAGACCGTGATTCTATAGGAAATTAACAGTAAATCGTGAGGAGAATTAAAGAAAGGCTTATGGCTAGAGTGAACCTTGGGCAGCTGGAAACACAGGATCGCACACGAAGGGCAGTGTGCTATCGGACAAAATAAACGGGAAAAATGTTGTTCAGTTCAAAGTGGGACAAAATTTCAACACCAAGCCCAGAAATAAATGTAAGCAAATCGTCTATGGAAAACCGGTTGAGGTGGAGTCAACTTTGTATAAAATAGAACGGTTCAGTCTTGAAACTTGAGCAGTCACGGAAGGGTGATGAATTAGCCTGAGGAATAGAGTAACAAATAATTACGCCACGGAATTAACATTGGTTATATCCAAAAGTTTCGGAATCCATAGACCGAACGCTTTATCGGCTGAAACCAAGTTAATGTCCGTCCGTATCATAAAGTAGTACACATATTTGGTGGGGAAAATTCCCTTAGATTCGTGTCTTATGCCTTCTGTCAATTTTACTATTAAGGGCACCACTACAACTACATACGAATGGGTGATACAGTGGCTAATGGTTAGAAAACTCAGTGGGACTCTTCACTTGCACGAGAGTTGGCAAAGAGGCGAACTGAGAAAATGACGGACAGGTGTTACCACACACGAACTATGGTAAGTATCCCACATACTACTCATGTTCTCACGTATTATAGAAATAAATTAATCTTCTGACTCGTCTCAGAAAGAAGTATTGATTAATTTCCGTTTGAAGCCACTCCGTGTCCTTTTGCCCTACAGACCTAACGCAAGAAAATATGAGTGAATATATGAGTGTTTTTCGATCCTATTTGTCGACCCTGATCAGACGGCCTGTGGTCGGGGACTAGTGCCGCACGGCTCACGTGGGGACCCAAGCTGGGATGGACCTTCTGGATACAGTTGGTGAACTGTTTTGCGGCGTCGAACGACTGCACAGAGTTTGTCTTAACAGAACTGAGTAATGTTTTGTTGCTGTCTCGTACAGGGCGTTGCGTAATGCAGAGCGTGACCTAGCTGATAGTTGGCTGGTATCTAAGATACAAACTGTGCTAGCAACCGTTACGGTGCTCATTTTACAGACCCATGCTTGTATTCATAGCCTCTTGCTACGGTTTGGTTTCTTTGATGCATTCATGAATATTTCACGAATGACTCTCACAAGTTTTTCCGATCATCGAATTGACCATTTTTTCATGAGCAGGTTCAAGGGAAGCCCGACAACAAGCCGGTTGGAAGTTATCTGCACTTATACCAAGTCCAGTCAACTAGTGTACAGGTTTTTCCCTATCTTTTCGTGACTGTACCAGGTACCATCAAATTTCATAATCAGTGGACCTGAATTCGCAAATCTTTGAACGGTTCTCCGCCTTGTATCTGGCTATTAGCCTAGTTTCGCACTTCCCCATTGGGGTATGACTATTTCTTCAAACAACCAAAGAAGGAATTTTCGCTAAATCATTTTTCTCACGAAGGTCTTGAATGTTGGGAAATCACCTATTCCAGGTAGCGTACGGACGTAGTGTGTAGGGTACGGGTGTAAATTATCCACAAACTAGCGAAATACATTGCATACCAATTTGGTTTTGACAGGAGACTCATCTTAAGCAAATGAATGTGCCACAGCACACCGCCTCATATTTCAGTTGGTACGATATTCGAGATGTCGTGATACACTGTTTCAGACGCAACGCACTACTCACAAGGTTTCAGCAATCCTATTAATAACGCATCACGCCTATCCACAAACTATTTTTTGTAAGCAGCCCCTCAATGCTACCTTCTCATCACAATGACAAATTTTAAATATTGCCCCGAGTGTATCAACGTCCTGTTCATTTCGAAATCATGTGATACTTCATTTGTGCCTCACTGGCTCAAAGTTTGGGGCTCTGACTACGTTTCCATTATACGTTTAACGTAAATTTAGCATTGATTCATAAGCAAGGCAAACAGTCCAATGGGGCATCTCGCCGTATAATTGATCGATTTTTTTCCATCGATTTCAACAGTCCGGCCAACGCGTCCTATTGGTTGCAGTCAAGGTCTGATCTAAGCGATACGCACAAAAACAGCCCAGGTTGGAGTAAATGAGAAGAGTTCGATTCTGAGTATGTGCGATGTGCATTTTTCCGAAAAACCTGAGATAGAGAGAAAAAAGGAGATAATAGGAGCAAGAACACAGTGTGACACAAAACAAATCAGGTAGACCAAACGAGCGCGCGCACACACCCAGAAACAAGCCGTTCTCGGTGGTTTATGCTATATCTCTCGTCTACTGTTGCTACTAAGGCAGCTATCTTCGAACGGACAAAGTCAGCACTATATTAGTGATGATACAAAAAAGTGGACACGACCGGCGAGCAGTACGGTCGTCATGACAACCATGAGGAAACCCAGATGGCATAGTGTGGTGGCTGGGCGGGTGAGTTCAAGAGGGTGGAGTGTGATAAGATTCAGAAAAAAACGCGCACAGAGAGATGATGGTGTCGTGATCTTCCCCAAAGTTCATGCGACCAAAAGTTCGGTGTTTAAAAACGACTTGAGCGAGAAGAACAGGGTAGAAACACAATGTGAGAAAAATCTACAAATCCAATTGTTCCAAAGCAATGAGCAAAACGGTCGTGTGGACAGGGAACGTGAGAAAACGAAGATAAGCAACAAGGTATAAACGATAGCCGGGCGTCGAAAAGAGTCGACTTTTTGTTTTGTTTTGATGACAATCAGAAAGAAATAACAACTGAACTTCCATATTGACTATCCCTTGGAGTTTGCTCTCTCACAGATTTTGCTTTGATATATTCCCGGGGATTGAGAGGAAGGGGCGAAAAAAGAGACGATTCCTACGGCGCTAGTTGATGAGGGCTGTGGTGACCGACGGACGAGGATAGTTCGATCGCGTCACTGGACCTGATTTCCTCAACTTCTCTTTCCGACTGGCACCCACGGAACAAGTCATGAAAGTACCAGGGTAACTCGTCGATATTGGCAGTGAATGATTTCTCAACGAACAAACCTTGGTTACACAGAGTGATGGAACGAAGCTCTGTAAGTGCCATGAAGATGCGAGGCCAATATTGGAGCGAAGTTGCCGTGGTACGCGTAGCTGGACTTCGAGTGGCCAACTTGCGGCTCCAATTCACGTAGCGATTGAAAGTTTCAAGAAGGATATCTTGCGTATGTTCCACAGTGTTGCTATCGACAAGTCCGCATCGATCTGTAGAGAGAAGGAATGCGATGTTTGAAAAATCAACAAAATGTATTTCATTGACCTGACTACCTGTCTACTATAATGTGGGAAATCTCAATGACTATTTGGGATCAATAGTAAAGGAGTACGTTAGTGTTATGTAAACACCAGACAGATGGCAAGTTTCGTGTTTTGTTACACGTCGGATGAAGTCTGTACTTAGCTGGAGGCCACCAGCCTATTGCTGTGAAAGTAAACAAAGCCAAACAAGACAGCTGTTGTTGTTGTTGTTGATATGTTCAGGAGGCTTGCCCAGTCCAGTTTACATGCGACGAAAAGAAAGGAGGAAAACAGCAGCAGAAACATCACCCAATCAATGTAATCAAGCTCTTTATCTGGCCTGTTGGTGACCGTAAGACTTGCGTGCATGCATGTGTGGGTTGGGCGCGCCACGAACGAAACACCAGGACGTTATGGTGTGAGAGAACAGCTGCCCTGGTAAGCGGCATGTGTGTACGTGACACAGGAGCGCGTATTCCGTCTGAGTCATGCCTAAGTCTTGGTGATGGTGATAGGGTGGGAGACAAAAGTCTGCTATGCACGTGGCCCAAGGCTTGGTTAGACACGTGAGGTGAAGCGACAAGCAGCGACCTCATCCCGGCATTTGAGCAGCTGAGCTCTGCTCACACGAAGCTTCTGTCAGACACTGGCGCTCTCCCCCTTGTCGATACAGACACGACAACAAAGATAAACTCGATTGTGAGGACACGACAGAATGGGTGTCTGGCCGGTGAGGTAACGCGAAAAGTGCACACGGAAAAGCCTTGTCTGTCTGACCTTTTGAGCACTCGGAGGCCGTCAGGGCGAGAAGGGAATGGGAAAAACAAGACAGAATCGAATAAACAAGACTGTGAGAAACAGGAGATGCAACGGACAGGTTGCCAAAAATACTGTCGTCAGGATAGAGTTTATGCGTAGGTGCTATTCGTGTATGACAAAGCGATCCCTGCACACCGTTTTTGTGCGAGACAAAGTGTGATCGCTAGGTGGAGTACCCCAGTTATATAACGAAACACACTGGTTTCCTCTCCGGGATGTTCGGTTTAATTGCTACGGGACGGTCGTCTAGTGTCTTCGCCCCTGAAATCCGGTTCACCTGTACTCTTCGACGACTAACTGAATCCAGAGACAGCCTTGTCACTGTGTATCCGAGTGGTCAACGCCGATTTATTGAATGAACATAAGTGCTCAGAGAGACCGCCAGCGTTTATCGGGGCTTGGTAAGGTTTGCACTTCTCACCAGTTGGAACAGCCGTCCAGTGCTGACCACTCCACCATCAATCCGAACACGTGATACAGGCGATGGGCGACAACAAACGCACTTCTCATCACTTGGACCAAAGTTAGAACGTCACTACCGTGAGCCCTCATACAGGTCACCAATGGTCTGAAGAAGTGCCTTAGAGGGGGGGATATCCGGTATGCAAACTCGATAGCCCAATACACTTCTGAATGCACACGTCACAGGGATGAAATGAGCCTCAAGCTACTCACAAATTTTGCATTCAGTCGACTAACAGGCTCGTGTTATTATCCTCTTTGACGGAATCCGTTGCCTCCATTGATTGCCATGGGTAGTTGGACTATGCCAGGCCACTTGCACTTTATTCCTTGGCCCAGGTGATTCCACGCGGTTTTGCTTAGGTGTCATCGGAACACGTGAGCATCTTGAATGATAAAAATAGTAATCGTTGCGGTGTAACAACTTTCCGGTGTTACTGACTACCGTGCGACCCGAAGTGAGTACGAGGGAGGTTGCCCAAGCCTAAACGGGAGTAGTCAATATACCGGGGTTGGTCTCGAATTACGGCTCATCCGGTCAGTAACTTCGTGCCCCGACCGCTGAGCTGCTTCGAGCACATGTCACAGTGAAAGAAAATCTCTCAACTGTAACACCCTTCCGGCGCCTAGCTGCCATGCTACTCGAAGGAAGCACGATGGCTGGGACACTGACCAAGCCTAGCCAAAGGAATTCAAGAGGCAGAGGTCGGCTTCGAACCACGGACCTTCCGGTCAGTAAATTCGCGCTCTAACCACTTAAGCCCCACATGTCACAGTGAGGCTCCTCATTGCTTATTCCTTATCAGAAGTTTTGATCTCACGAAACCGTTTTCTCCGAGGGGACGCTGCGTGCTGCTTACGGGCTACAATTCAGTCGCAAGACGGAAAGGCTGTAATCAGGCGAAATCCTAGTAACTTTGCTATAAACTTCATTCATTAACAGACGAAAAGTCCGAGTGTACGACCGAAAAACCAAATTAGTTAGTCATCTTCTCAGTCGAATGAGCATGTGGAATGGACCGCATCAATCTGGACGGAGACAGAGAAGAAGTAAATCAAATAAGACTTACCTGGAGACATAAGAAGTATGGCCGCCATAAGAGCAACCTCTGTCTGGTCAATACCCAATCGGGCCAGCTTGAAAGCAACTGCGCGAATCATTTGAGCACATTTGGCGTCCGATACACCCAACTGGGGATAGACAGTGTTTGGAATCAAATTAGACGATGAATGCGTGGAAGATGTTGTTTCTGCATATTGATCCAACAGTCCGTTGGTGCGGGCAATCCGACTGAGAAGATAGGCAGCACGCAACGTGATCACATCCAGACAGCAGCCCCTCAAAAGTCTAGTTTGATCATCGGCACCCAACTGAATATGGATAATCGGAAGAGGGAGGGAGTAGTAACAAACAATAATCGGGTACATTTGAGATTTGGAGACGAGTTCATCTGACCTCGCACTCGTTCAACCGATAAGTTCAAAACAAGGTCATCTATGCGTGTCCCAAATAAATCGAAAACCGTTAGCTCTTACCACCAAACGCTAGGCTGGTAAAATTACTCAACTCGGTAGCTGTCTCAGCTGGCATAGGCGAGTGACCCTTTCAAACGCAAAACTCAGTTCTTCCTGGGGGGGAGTACTGAAGTGAAACATACCATACAAGAGGTGGCACATCATTCAACACTCTTTTCAACCTTAAAACTCTGCTTCACCAACTTGTGGGAGAAATCTAACTGAGTATCCCGAATTTTCCTCTTTCTATTCAACTGAAACCACGTGAGGTTTGTCCATCTCAACTAAAGGGTGTCCCAAATAAATCGAAAACCGTTAGCTTTTGAACAAAACTGCTCGCACCACCAAACGCTAGGCTGGTAAAATTACTCAACTCAGTAGCTGTCTCAGCTGGCATAGGCGAGTGACCCTTTCAAACGCAAAACTCAGTTCTTCCTGGGGGGGAGTACTGAAGTGAAACATACCATACAAGAGGTGGCACATCATTCAACACTCTTTTCAACCTTAAAACTCTGCTTCACCAACTTGTGGGAGAAATCTAACTGAGTATCCCGAATTTTCCTCTTTCTATTCAACTGAAACCACGTGAGGTTTGTCCATCTCAACTAAAGGGAATCTGAGAGTAGAGGAAAAAGCATAGCGTGCCGGTCCACGACGAGTAGGGATTGTTCCTCACCCGTCTGGTCAAAGGACGACACAACAGCTCCACTTGTGTTACTTTTCCGTGAGTATACTGGTCCTTGGAAAGCAGCTGATGCAGGAAGGTTGTGCCAGATACCAAACTGATTGCCTACCTTCTGAAGGTTATTTAAGAGGTTCCTATTGGAAAACACGCAAGTGTTACGGTTGTGCATAGGCGTCCAGACTTAGACAGGATAGCCATTAGGGTCCTCGACCAAAGCCTGGAAAACACGCAAGTGTTACGGTTGTGCATGGGCTGAGATATTGCCCGGGCGTCCAGACTTAGACAGGATAGCGATTAGGGTCCTCGACCAAAGCCTTTGGTTCAAAAGCCTGACTGTAAGGCAGCGCTGTTTGGCGGGAAATGCAAGCGAATTACTATTTTTATAGAACAAGTCCCCAGGCATGTTCTAACCCCTAGCATGGAGGGTCAGGCCTCTAACCATTGACCAACCTGGTATCAAGGACTCTGTGAGTGCCGCACAGACACCACCCAGTATGGGGCAGTGGGTTATGCAGGAACACAAACCGCCCCATCACGGTAAGGTCCACTGTCTTCGTGATGGAGATATATGACGTAAGACCTTGTGCTAAATTACTGGCTAACTTCAGATGGAAAGAACTCGTCAGTGTGGCGGAACGGTGTAACAGGAGTGCTTACACAACACTCGTATAGGTCAATGGCTAACTAGTAAAATTGTATCTTAGAAACCAGATAACATCACTTTTTCGGTTGCGATTGGCTTACTTCCTCGAAAGAATGGTACTGATGAAGCACATGCCGTCTACTTACTCTCCAGGACCCGATAAGTCCGCGATTAAGGTGCGAACCTACTGATCGGGAGGTCCGTGGTTTGAACCCTACCTCGGCATCTCGACTGCCCCTGGAAAGGTCTTTGACTACCATGCTAGCTAGGCCACAGATAGACGACTGCTTATGCATTAGTACGGTACCTTTCCCGTCGACATCACCCCTGTTTGAAGACTTCTCTTCAACATTTTCTCCGCAACTCATGGGCAGAGAATAAGCATAGAAGTTACATAAAAGTAAACTGGTAGATTGTACGGAATTTGATTACTGCACTCCCAGTGCTGTGGGCCGGTGGATAGGCAAAAGTCATCGAAATGGAAACTTTCAAGGTCAAAACACAACGCAATTCACTACGCTGTTTTGAATTTAAAAATTTCCATATTATACACCACATGGTGTGCTCAATATTTTTAACACTATCCAAGCTGAATTTAGCCCGGAAATCAATAAGGCATCGATCTTATAAAAAAACCTGAAACATCGTTGATCTAAATCAATAAGGCATCGATCTTCATAAAAAAACTGAAACACTCGTTGATCTGCGTCAAAAATTAGGCTGAATGTGATCCGTTTTGCGACTGTTCTACCAAATTCTCTCAGCATAACGCGATTGTACTGGAATATCCTCAATTTGGCTGTCTGGAATGATGTTGTTTTTGGAAGAGCACTTTTCAGTTGTAGGTACTCCCGGGGAATTGCGGTGCAGCTGAAAATATTACACGTAGCAGAGGCCTGGAGAATGTCTCCAAAAGCACTGAGTTTCACTGCTCGCTGTCGTGCCTAGTTCGGTCAACAGGCCAGTGCCAAAGGTCAGATGCATGTACTAAGTTGACCGATAAACTGCGCCCTCAGCGTAAAATAAAAAGCGTCTGATTCAAGGGGATCTGGAGATGATCGTGTTGGTGTGCAGTGTAGTGCGTAAACCCGGTAGCTCGCGACAATCTGTGTCAATCGAGGTCACTGTGTCTGCTTGCCTTTGTCTAACCAACACTGAACGACGCAAAATTGTACCACGTCCTACGGGCAGGCGCAGTGTGCACATTAGTAAGACTCCCGATGAACACGTACATGTGCATGCCTGAGGTATAGGGTGAAAAGTGCTGCGCATCAAGTCGAAGGCTAATCACTATTTTTAAAACAGTGCGGCTGCTGAAGAATGACGGCTCGTTTTTTTATTATTTCGTTGGAAGCTCGTTGATTTTTTCGCTGAACTGGGCTAACGTTTCATCAATGATTTGTGTTAGAGAGAGGAGGAGAGTGTAGCGGTGAATTTTGCTGCAAGTTTGGGGATATCCAGGGTTCGGTTAGTGTCTTGGAGGCCAGTGTTTCTAAGCTCTTGTCTTGTTACTGATGCGCTTTGGATAGTTTGCCGTTTTATCACGACAGGTCAACTAGACACAGCAGCACCTGATGTCAGCCGGATTAGAGACGCGCTCCATCACTATTACGCTGCAAGCAGCACCTACAATCGACTGCGCTAACAGCTGTCGACGCGTGCCCGCATGTGAAGCAATAAACTTAAATGACCCCAAAAGACTAACGCCTGCATTAGTGACGCTGTTCAAGTTCACGTCTGGTTGATCGATCGGCTCGAATCGATCAGCTGTCCAAGTCGCTTCCGACTGACGCAGCCAACCTGAGCGCACCACCACGCGCGTGTGCTTGTGTGTGGCTGAAACCTATGCACACCCGGCACACGTTCGCCTGTATCAGCTTCAAATGAACGCTAACCAACTTCGAACTGGTCTGATTCGACAGTCGTCTGGTCAAATGTTTCAGGCCACCTCACGACCGAAGACATTCGCTGGTTGATGTTAACTGTAGCATGTTCAAATTTCAGCTCACGAACGGGTGAATGATACCAAACGGCTGTGACGCGCGCAATGCTGCTAAGGTCATCCGTTAGTCTCGCAAATTTCCAACACTATAAACAGCCAAGTATGGAGCTGAATGCACGTGTACAGTGGAAAGAAAACACACTAAAATGTACGACCATCAGTGCGGATGGCTCCTTTTGAAAGTCGCGAATCGTGCATGTATGGGCCATCACAGCATATCACAGAGGATAGGGCAGGGTGAATGCAGAAAACGAACGAAACGATAAAAGAATGATGGGTTCCAAACATCAACCGAGATGCGATGAGACCGTGAATTGCAAAAGATTATTTGCGCAACTGGTTTCAGTAAATCGTTCATGTGTTCGTGAGTGCTGAAGTTCAGAAGTAAATCACTGGTCATCATCATTCGTTTGTGATAGTCGCCTTCAGTTTGTTACCCCAAATAGTGTGCAAATGCTGAACACAGCACGGGCAATCCAATGAATGATTACTGTGGACAAATAATTCCGATTTTATGATGTCAGTTGCGTAGGGATGAGTCACCGTGATGAGTTCAGGCACCGCGAACTCTGCTTTTTCTGAGGTCATCGTACTAAAATCCGTATTCATCACGGAATCGCACTTTGGCCGATCATGTCGCTCCATAAATCCGCATTGAAGGCATTCACCCACACAAACTGATTCATGTGTTTTAAATGAGAGTCGGATGGACAGAGTTGTTAAACAACCCTAGCGATTATTGAGAGGGTGAGATAGCACTGGTTGCCTAGCTAGATGCGATCCATGTTAGTTTTTGTTCTGCTTTTCTCCCACCGTTATTCCTCCCAGTCTTTTCAAGCAGTATCATGATGGGTCGTCATCGATAGTACAATGTCTCTGTTCACTACCGATGCCGTACAACCATTATTGTGAAAAAAGAATGAAAGAAGGTGAGTCAACAATAAACGCATTCTTTCGGTTGCTTGTTCTGCTTGCTTCTGACACCGATGAACCGCGTGTCAGTCTTCCATTAAAATGAAGACAACAGATATCTTACAAATGAAGTGCGTTTGGGACAATCAAGTCCCTGAGTATAACTCGGAACGTAGGTGGTGGATTCGAGTCACCTCCATACTTGATCGTCACACCTATGAACGTTTCTGTTCATAATTTGAACAGAACTAGAATTAACGGCGCTGCACTCAATCCTCGGGGACCGATTTTTCCTCCAGTCCTTATTTGACTTCTAAATACTCATCCCAAGACGTTCCGGTGGAGTTCAACTGTTTTGGGTCGATAGCATGAACAGCTGGAAAGCTGTGTGCACATTGGGAAATATTGTGGTCCTGGTACCTGATATCTACAGGCATGTCCTATTCGAGTTTACTCACTGATACTCGAACAAATCGATACGCAAATGGTAGCTCATCAAACAGTGGTTCGCGCATCAGTAACGCTACTACCGATGTGAGTTTCAAACACGAATATGATCAATGCGTCGTTTGTCTTCAACAACTACAGGAAAGTCATTCCATACGCTACATTGGTCAAGAAGAAGACCTTGTATCCCTCATCCAACCTGTCTACTGATGTCACCGTGCTAGTTACTAAAAGTGGGGTAATGGAATTGAGACTCACCAAACCGAAGCCAGGAATCAATTTGGCAAATGTGACCAGACGAGCAATGATTGGCTCTATCAGACGACAAAGTTCAGAACCAGCTCCTTCGGGGAACGGCTTTTCCGAGACATCATCTGCATCAGTCTAGTTAAACGGAAAAGCAAAACAGTGGAAGAAGTTAGTGCAACGAATCGGCATGTTGGAGGAAGGACAAAAGCAGTACTGAAAACAAGAAAAATTCAAAGGGTATCACCTACTTGGGTTTTTTCTGATGGCATCAGCATTGCTCGATAAGCCTTGCGAATCGAGTCAACCATTTGTTGATCTTCCGGCGTCCACGGACAGTCGTTCGGGCCCGAGGAGACGGAAGGATTTTGATGCGTCTTGAGCGCAATCGGAATACAACTCGATTTCTGACCGGGAGGAGAGGCGCTGTTGTCGCCGTCTGAACAAGCCAAGTTTGAGACTGGGTCCAAACATGCACGTTTGACTTCCGATGTTGTTGGTACCGGGATCGTCAGGGTATTCCCCATGGGGTCACATGGAGATTCTGGATTGTAGAAGGATGGCGCAGATGGCTGCAAAACAGGTGGGTAAGAAAGTCCTTGGGTGTTTATCACATTCGAAGTGGTGGTCAAATAAGGGAGTCCAGATGATCTTGAAGGTACAAAGGATCGCCAGAACATGGTCGAACCATTGGCTTGGGGTGCCACCAGAGAAGTCATGGGTGAAAGTTGTGGTGGCAGACTGGCCAAGTTGAGAACACCAGACTGAGCGGACGGTAATGGTTGGTGAGCGGCAGTTACCAGTGCGATTGGAGCTGAATGACCAACTGGTAGTGACGCTGAGGTTATATGCCTTTGCAGACAAGGTGGATTTGGCGCAAGCGGAACAGGCAGGGCAGATTGATTGGATGTATGTGTAATGCCTTCCGATTCGGCACGTTTTTTCGCGCGATTAGCTTCAATCAAGCGACGCTTGGCCAGACGTTTGTCTTCATCAAGGACAACTGATAATGAAAAATGGAAATGAGTGTGTTTCATACATAGAAAGCAGTTGTTAAACTAGGTCCAGATGCAGTCACAAGGTCTAATGAGCGCTGTCAACAAAAGTACATAGCACGTCCAGACATTGCCGAGCCTGTCATTAAAAACAAACTGCACAGTAGAGGTCAATCTCACCCTTGCCTAAGTAATGTCGTTTACCTCATCCGTTCATCACAAAGTTCAAGGTCATACAGAAACACGGTTAGATGAGCAGGAACCCACTATCTCGTGAACGTTCGTCCAACATTGTGTTGGCAAACAAACGGACAGTCGAACGAAGGTCATTCTTGCATTGTTTGCTTCGGACAAACATGAAGGTCTTCAGCGTCATGTTTAGGCGACCCTACGGCAACAATGTTGACACCATGATTACTAATCGATCAGTGTTGGTTACATGTAGCACAGGTGAAAGCCCACGATAGATTCAAACCACCGTGCAGCTCCAAGAAAACACCAAGATTTCCGCAGTGCATAGGATATCATTAGTGGAACCAAGGAAGTGAAAAAGAGGACTTTAGAGCCTGCCAACCAGATTTTATCACATCAAGAGGTTCGGTACAGTTATGGGACTTGATTGTCAAAACAAGCATCCAGTTACTTGGACGACTTTTCTTTTGCATACAAACAGCGATTGTCAAATGCCAGAAAGAGATTGCGGATCTTTTCCAGATAAGCCCCGCCACTAATGCAAAAAGTGCATGTGCGAAAAGTTAAGCCTCGCCACTTTTGCCAGCTCCAATTTAATGTACACACACACAACTTTGATCTATTTTTGATGAAAACAATTCCTCACCGCGTCTAGGCTCATTTTGTGCGAAAATTTCCTCCGTTCGGAAGTAAAACCTTAAATGAACTTCCAGACGCTTTCAACTCTTGTTCATGACAAGGAGACGGCAATACGTTTAAGGCAAAGCCACGGAGTGATTCATCAGCAACGTTTATGCAACAATGGCCACCAAATGACAGGTAGAGGTGCAATGCCCGACAGTTGATCATACCAAAAACTTTGTGGATCAAGCGACTGGAGCTCATACACAAACCATCGAATCTCTTTGACAGAATAAACGCCAATGCGGCACACATCGATCTTTAGTGGACAGCTACTTGTGTGAGTTCATTTGGAGGCAAAGGTACCGAAAAACGCATCTTTTCAAGCAAATTATTAATGACATGTCCCAATTTCACCCTATTCAACGAAAAGTAAAAGTATAAATTTCATATCCACTTTCCTAATCATTTTTGGGTGATGTGGGTCAATTTTTTGGCGGGGTCTATCTGGAAAAGATCCGAGATTGCATCAAGCTGCAGATAGTTGCCTAGCTGGTAATAAGAGCAAACCCCATGTGAGGACCATCACAATGCGGACAAAAACATCAGTGCAGTGAATGGAACTCTCACCGCGAGTCCCATGGGAGCCTGTAGGCTTTTCGAGAAGAATACAATCGAGAATATTTGGGTTTCCTCTCTGGTTTAAACGAAATTCGATAGGTATTGATCTGTCCGAAAGTTATCGTCGACTTGATAGGTAGTGCGTATAAAGTCTATTGCTGGTTTCTTTGGAAACGCACCAGAAGCTCGAGAATCACGCACTTGTCCGTTTAGAGGGTTAAACACCACTCATCCAGATTTTAAAGATGAGTTTATGTTGAATGGGGGAGGTGGCATCTTTGTTGAAGGAATAAAACCACATAATAAATCGTTACCTGCAGGAGACTAAAAACGCCTTACTTCTTGGATTGTGGCATTATGACGATGAAATGTGGACGGGATGCGAAGCCAAACAAAC